CAGACAGACAGACAGACAGACAGACAGACAGACAGACAGACAGACGGACAGACAGACAGACAGACAGACACAAACAGACAGGCTTAGACATGATTAATAGATAGATATATTTGAATGTGTGGGTTTAAAGTAAACTTTAGCCCTCAATTGGGAACTAATTTGTCCTAGCGTGTACATCCGGGGGTTCTGGGATAAAGACTCGTCATGTGATAAAGAATCTTTGAACCTATTTTAAAAATGGAGAAGGAGGTCAAAATTTACTTTTACCATTGTGTGTGAGTCAAAAGCTTTTTTTTTTTTTACCTCGCCGGACTTTCTGTTCTGTCCCCAAACCTCTCCCCACAGTCTCGACTCTGTTTGCATCCTGTTCTGGTTCTTTGTCTCCGCGCTTGTTGCGTCAATACTTTTTCCTTTTCCACCTGTTGTCTGTGTCTGTCGATACATCATTTTAAACCATTCCCCTCTGCCGACACGTCTTTGTAAAGGATGGCAATGCCTCGGAGTCAAAAGCTTCCATCTGCAAGAAGAGCGTAATAAAGATATCGTCTTTTTGACACTTGTCCCGGGGCATATATGCGCTCATTCGCTGATGGGCGGGGCCAATTGTCACATTAAAAAACGTGTCATCGGTCAAACGATTTGACAGGTGAGTTTCTCTTGTTCTTCTGTCAAAAGACCACGGTTAGCTTGATGTAACGGTGGGATATTTTACTACCAGCCTCAAGCACTCAATAAAAAAAGGCAATGATTACTCAGATTGAGGTTTGAGTTTGAGGATGTACTGAAGAAAAGTTTGTAGACACTTTTTTTTGGTAATGCAGAACCGGCACCAAATCAACAAGGCCAAAAAATGTGGACATTCAAAAGAAACTAACATGTAAGCTAAGAAATTTCGTGATACGTTTGCGTAAGAAGGAGAGGGGAAAGTAGATGAAACCCAAGAAAAGTGAAAAACTTTGCCGATAAAGTCTTCGAGTGCCGCAGACTGCAAGGACAGACAAAAACGAGCTTGACGCCTGTATGTGAACTGCTATTTCGTTACCCAGAGTAACAAACTTTAATCTGCTCAGTACCTAGTTTGAGAAGTTTAACGTAAAACATTTTGAAGTTTCACAGCATTTCACCAGCGTGAACAATTACTTTTAGTTTCCTTAGAGTTACAAAGCTCTATCTGCTCAGTACCTAGTTTTGAGAAATTTTAAGTCAAACATTTTGAGTGTCAAAACATGTCATTCTTTTTCTAATGTACTTCTTTGTATATCTTAAAAATTGTTCCGAAAAATGTTACGATTTTGATAGAGCAGAAAGAACATTTGGTTTCTAACCTCATGATCTTACTAACTCAAAACGGCCAAAAATGCCAGATAGAACTTTGTAATTTTAAGGTAGCGATTTGTTGATGATTATGCACCGCTTGCTTGGGAAGAACCCAAAATGCAAAACTGTTGTAGATTTTTTTTATCGTTTCAAATGCATGTGAGACCCTTGGACTCACAATAAGCACAGCTAGGACAGAAGTGCTCTTCCACCCTGTCCTTCATGATACGCAGACCCTCCCTCCCGAAATCAAAATACACGAAAGGACTCTAAACAATAAACATTGATAACTTCAAATATCTAGGTATTTCACCGTCTTCAAATGGTTCCCATCAATTCAGAACTAACTTTAGATTAGAAAATTCAGGGCAAGGGTTTGGGACTTCCGTTGCCTTCGTACAGAGACAAAGTTGAGAGTCTACAATGCTGTGTACTTGAAAGAGAACGAAGCACAGAGAGGTGGGGAAGGGAGACAGGGGGAATGGGAGAGAGAAAGAAAGAGAGAGAGGGAGAGAGA